GGGGGGTGATGATGAAACTTATTTTTTGAAATAGAGAGGATGGAATGGAAATGAGGAATTCTCTTAGAAAGGCAGACTGGAGCTGAAGTTAGGATCTTGGATCTAATCAGTAAAAGCAGGAGAACTGTTACTATGTGACCCTCCCAAAGAAAGCAGGTAATGATAAGTAGAGAAAATTTTAGTGTCAGGAATCAGCTCATAAAGTGACAAAATGCTGTGGTCTGTGTGTGTGTGTGTGTTTGTGTTTGAGAGAGAGAGATTAAAAAAGAAAAATTACTAATTCAATTCATGTTGTGAAATTAAGAGGAACAGATTTGAGCCATAAGCAAATATCTGAACTTAAGGGATAAGGAGTAGAGAATCTCTCCAAAGAATATCTGAAGAGATTCCTTAGAGAATCTCTCCAAGGAAATACTATCCACTGTGGTAAAGAAACTGAAATTGAGGAAAGTTGTAAAGGGAAAACGAATGAATGAGCCCCTTTGCCCTGTTTCATTTGGTTTGGCACTATTCTGCATTGGTTTAGGTTGAGAACGTTGAGAACGTAGGTAAGAACAGGATGAGAGAAAGTGCACTGTCCATATTTCTAATATAGGAAAGATAGGAAAATGAGAACAAATTTTGATGGCGACAAAGACAAACATCGTAAGACCTACTCATACATTTCAGACAACGCTGTTACATGAATGGTGTGGCCTGATGACCCAAGCTCTGATGACTACTTTTAATTGCTTGTGCCATTATCTTATGCATACTGTTTCTGTAAACGTTAACATTAATTCCTAATTTTTTAAAAACGTGGTATTATAAATTATGAGGAATATATAAAAGAACTCTGGGAAAACATGGTTTTCTCCATTCAGAGAAAATGCATGATAATTTTCCATCAGCACTTCTTTCACTGGGAATAAATATCTCTGGGTAAAGTAAACTTACTGTGCTATGAAATGTCCTTTATGTTTATACTCTCACAAGCATCAATATAAAGATGTGGAAATTTTTAAAAATTGAAGTTGTTTCATTTTGGCGAAATAAGATTCTGATGTACAGAAAGTGAGATTCCAGGAGAAGTGCCTACCAAGATCAAAGATATCAGTGCCAATTAAAAGGAAGGATATAATAAATAGGAATGAATGGAGACCACCAGCTGGAGCCCAGAAGCCCATATCTGTAAGTCATGCTAAACCCTTCTCGTTTTTTAGCAAATGGTATATTCTACAGACCTACTTGCACATGTCTATGTGGGACAAGCTGATTATAAATTCAAGACTAGTGGAATCCACTAGTCTTGAATTTATAATAAAATTTTCTGTAATGACCATTAGAGTGGTATTACATTTGACAATTTCTACTTACTATATTTTTAAAAACGATGCTATATTTTCTTATAAGTATTCTACATTTTGGTTTTAGTTTTCTTTTTATAACTAAAATTCTTTTTAATTCCTTTCAATATGTAAAGTTTTTTCTATATGAGACAAATGAGTAGCATAGTCGCAAAAAACACACAGTTCATACTCTTAATTTTGACATGTTATATATACTTGAGAGATTTTTTAATTAAATAATCACTGATCTTTTCCTAGAGGCGCTTTATGCTTTATTATTTGAATCCACTTAGCAGAGTGTTGAATCTTTTAGTTTATGCTAGTAAAATGCTTTAGTATATAAATAATAGAGTAGCTATTATCTTTTAAATGAGAATTGTATTTTTAAAGAAGGCTCATTAGGTTATAATTAGAGGACCATTTGGAAATACATTTACTAAGTACTAGACATTTTACTAAGTACTAGACATTTAGAAAATGTGCTGTATAAATAGATTTTGAAATAATTAGTTAAATTATTGTACTTCATTTGATAAAATGTGGTTTAACTTTATTAAATAAAATTTTAAAGTATGTCGTAATTTAGAATACTCTTTGGCAGACCTGTAGGAGAGAAAAGTCATCTAAAATATCTAAGTGTGGATTAAGTTAAAACAAGTTGACATTTTCTAATCCTTTGCAAGCTTCCGCTAATACAGTGAAATGAATGGGTCTCCACAGGTACCATCTCTGATTTTCACTACCATTTGGGATTTTAGAGAAAATCCTAAAGAAGTTGTTTCTTTTTTTCTAAAATTTTTCTTTATTTCTAACCAGTTTCCAACAAGTTTAGTGGTAACTTTTGGGTTGTATATAGGTAAAATCATAAAACTAAAAAAAAAAAAAAAAAACAACTTTAAAGATTAAAAAAATAAATGTATAATTTATGTTTAGATCAATAAATCAAATTTTATACACTTAATATTTAAATGGAACTATATGAGAGTGTCATTTTTATAAGCTGAAGGTGGTCAAATATCTGTAATTCTATATGGTCAATCTAACATGTACATATAAACCACATGGCAATAGAAAGAAAGAATATAACGTCACATTTTTATAGTGAGGAAATTCTAATTTTAACCATCCTTTTGGTTACTCATATTGATGAAGGACAAGGCAAATTCCCCCGAGTGGACGGAACTCGTGCCCTGCACTGAGAATTCTTGGCTATGCTCAAGAAAGAATTCAAATGCTCGCCAGAGTTAGAGTCAGAAGGAAAGTTTATTAGAGAAGGGGCAACACTCCACAGAGCGTGGTCTCCTCAGAGGCAGAGAGTGAGAGAGCCTGAGGGAAACTCAGAGGGACAGTCAGAGAAAGGGACAGAGACAGTGAAGGACAGAGTAAAGACACTAAGAAGGAATGAGAAAAAGACACTGAGAGGGACTGAGAGACAATGAGAGGGACCCCGAGTGGTGGTCAGGGAATTCAGTGTATATATCATTCTTAGTTTCTATGAATTACAGTTTAAATATTTTGTTTACCCATTTTCCTTTGATGGTATGGGCATACAGTATGAAAGGATAAGAGTATGTAGCATGAAAAGGTAAGAATACGTAGCGTGAAAGGCCTGCTGGCATTTCCCAGCCTGTGACCCATTGGTTGGTTCCCCATGGTTTTAGCCATAGGGAATGAGAATTTTATTTTGTGTATGGCACCACTTTAAAGACTTTTTCCTGTTTTCCCTTCACGGTATGGGAAAATAGGTTGTTAGCAATCCCAGCAGAAATCTTCCTTTGTTCTGTAGGTTTCCTTGTGATCTGGCTGTGGGACTGATCAGCATATTACAGTCTCTGAATATAGCTTGATTTAACATTTCAGTTCTCTTGCCTCTCCCTACATTAATATTTCCAACTGCTAGCACTAGGTCTTTCTAATAGTTTGACCTTCTTTTTCTCTTTTGTAACCAGTTGTTGAGTAGGCAGAGTTGTCCAGATTAAATTGACCCTACTTTGCTATTTAGCAACAATGTCTTGATTGGTTTTCATATGTTAATTTGGTCTGAGTCTTTTCTTCCAGCGCTTTGGCATCTCCTCAGCTCTAAGATAAACAATGGTTTCTGGTTCTTCTCTCATTCTGTTCTGGTTGGGAAGGGTGTGTTTTACTGGGGAAGAATGACTGAATAACACAGCATCTTTTCTTCAAGTTATGGTATCTTCAAGTTATGGTATCATTTTTAGTAAGTTTATTAGAACCTAACATGTTGCAGATCCCCAGATTTGTGAGTTGCACAATAACATGTATTCGTCCCTAAAGTATAGTCAGGTGTAAATAAGTTTATGAAAAATAGGAAGTAATAATACTGAGTTTAGTTTCAGATCTCAGGTCGGCTAAGCATACTGACTAGCTCAGTACTTTTGACACACTAGCCACGAGGCATGCATAATTCATATCCACACCCTAGCAAAATTACAGACTACTGTACTACAGACTTCTAAAATCTTTTTTCAATTCTAGGATTTGGGGATTCTAAGATTATTTTAAATGTGAAAACAATCGTAGTGCAAAAACAACAAAAATATACCTTTAATGAATGCCTCGTCTTACCTATGTCACTATCAGAACTGTCAATTATTATAGATATGCATTAAGTATTTTAAAAAAAAAATTTCCTTCTTCTTTTTAATCCCTCAGATAAAAATGGTAGAAAGGCCCAAACTTGCTGCAGTGTGTGGCCATTATAATTATTACTATGCTCAACTTGACTTGTTGAGAAAGAGAGCCCATGAGCCAAGTTACCACTGTGTTCCTCAAAAAGATACCGGAGTTGAGGAGAATTACAGTCAGGAAGAAAGCCACAGTCCATCACCAGGTCAATGGTAATGTGATACTCTAACTGAAACTTTAGTCTTCTGAAAACATTTGATATAGCAACATTCTTTACTCTGCACTCCTTTCAAATTCTCCTAAAATAATCTAAAAACTTCCAAACTTTTCATTTTAAATACTTAATTTACAGTTCTCTTGACCTTTTTCTTTTTTTATTTTCATTAAATTAAAAAAGAAAACTTTTTAGTTACAGTTGACAAACAATATTATATTAGGTTCAGGTGTACAACATAGTGATTAGACACTTATATAACTTACAAAGTGATCGCCTGGTAATCCCTCGACCCTTTTTCATCTCAGGTCTGATGTATCTTATCTTCTTATTAATGTAGTCATTTAACTATGGACACAGATTTGTATTCTTGAATTTTTAATATTTTTTCTTGCTTCTAGTAAATTTCACTGCCTGGGACTTAGGAAAATAATTGTATTTGTATCATTTTGCAAAGAGGTTATTACTATTCATCAATAATAATTGAATTACAATGATCATTTGAGACATTGGAAAGTGAAATGTATGTCATTCAACATTTATATTCTTGGGATATTTCAGAATATGGATGTATTAGAAAGAAAATAATATACTTAAACTGCTCTTCTGGCAGACTTTCAAAAAATTTACTTCATAACAAATTTCTGCATTATTTTCTATTGTTTATTTCACACTAATGTCAGTGTTTCTGTGTTCAGAATAATTGACATCTCTTCCTAGGCCTGAAGACCTAAGTGGGAGAGTCATTGTTAAAAAATGTTTTTGCCATCACATTTTTTTCTTTCATTGTTGAGATTTTGCTAACTTTTGGTGACTGTGGTTATTTGTTGTTGAAATTTTGGATGAGTAATGAAAAATACAAGAGAATATGTGATGGTGAGCCCATCAGATAGCTAACGAAAAGATTAGCTATGGGAAAAGTAGACATTTTATTTTTAAAGATAATGGGTACTACGAGGTGGAAAAAAATGGCGTAGATGATAGAGGTTCTGTTCATCCCTCTGGCGACCAAATCAAAGTTGTGACAGACACAAGGAGCAAATGACAAGAAAAAATTGCCTGGGATCTAGAAGAACAAGCCACACAATTAGGGAGAAATCTAAGAAATCACCCAGCAACGGCAGAAGGTAGGATGGGGCGAGTACATGGGGCCTGGGCTGAGTGGCCGAGTGGGACAGAGGCTGCGGCAGTGGTGGTGGCAGAGGCGGTGGCAGACACCTCTTAAAGGGTCTGTGTTTGCGAGTGGACTTTCACGGTGACAGACCTGCTTGCTCTGAGCACCAGCACCAAGTCAGCTGCTCTGGGGGCACCACTTACAGGGGGACACTGAATTGTTGGAGTGAGGGCCAAGGGGAGATTCGCTCTGTACAGAAGTGCCGGTGGTATCCATTGTTCCTCTGTTGATCCCTCCCCTTTCCGGTGTGCAGTCCCAGTGCCACCATAGGGGAGACGTCATCAAACTGGATAACAGAAGTTGCTCAGCCCTGAGGATTCCCTCAAACTCCTCCTCCTCCTACTTGCAGCTCCCACCCCAAGCCAATTTAGGTGTATCCTTGGCGAGTTATGTGCTCCTTACTGAACAATGCCTAGACTCACACTGGTGGCAGCTGGCCTTAGTTTCTGGTGTGGCCTTTTGAGGCAACTATAAGCACAGCATCTGTGGATTGCTTGCTGAGTCTTAACAGGTGGCCCCAGAGGGGTACAAGCTTGGGCTAAACTTGGCCAGTAGCTGAACTCCTCTCAGGACTGTGCCACCGGACACCTACTTCACAAATCCACACTAATAAGACCAGGAGATTTAGGAGCTTTGCTTAGTATATAGAAACAGATACGAAAAGGCAACCAAAATGGGAAGACAAAGAAGCAGAAATCATATGAGAGAACAGAACAGAGACCCAGAAATAATGGAGTCAAGCAATCTAACGGATGCAAAGTTCAAAACACTGGTTATAAAGATGCTCGATAAATTTAGGGGAAGATGAATTCAGTGAGAACTTCAACAAAAAGATAAAAAACATAAAAATGGAAATGGAAATTATAAAAGGGAGCCCATCTGTATGACGAACACATTATCCGAGATGAGAAGTATATTAAATGGAATAAACAAAAGAATAAACAAAGTGAATAAAGAAGAGGCTCAAATGACCTATCCAGAGGATGGGAAAGCTAAGAACACTCAATCAGAATGGCAAGAAAAAAGATGCCAAGACTATAATAATAATTTAAGGAGCCTATGGGACACTATTAAAGGTAAAAATATCCATCTCATCAGTGTACTGGAAGGAAAACAAGATGTTGAACAGCTATTTGAAGAAATAATGATGGAAAACTTCCCTAACCTGCTGAAGGAAATAGACATAAAACCCCAGGAAGCTCGGAGAATCCCAAAAACCAGGAATCCAAAGAGGCCCACACCAAGACAGATCATAATTAAAATGCCAAATATTAAATACAAAGAAAGAATCTTAAAAGCAGCAAGAGAAAAGCAGATAGTTACCTACAAGGGAGAACCCATAAGACTGGCAGCTGATTTCTCAAAAGAAACCATGCAAAACAAAAGGGCTTGGCCCAAAATATTTGACATGATGAAAACCCAGGATCTACAACCAAGAATACTTTATCCAGCAAAACTATCATTTAGAGTTGAAGGACAGATAAAGAGCTTTCCAGACAAAAATAAGCTAAAGGAATTCATCATCACCAAGCCAGTATTACAGGAAATGTTGGAAGGACTTCCTTAAGAAGAAAAAACAGTATCAAAAACAGGAATAAAGAATGATACATTCCTATCAACAAGTACCTCAAATGGAAAAGAATTAAGTGCTCCAACTAAAAGAGTGGCTGAATGGATAGGAAAATAAGACCCCTACATATGCTGCCTACAAGAGACTCACTTCATATTAAAAGATATACACAGACTAAAGGGAAAGGGATGGAAAAAGACATTGCCTTGATGGACCTAGAGGGTATTGGGCTGAAAGAAACTGGTTAGATAGAGAAAGACAAATATTGCATGATTTCACAGAATTAGTTGCTCGGGAAGGACTAATTCCAGTCTCGAAGAAAAATCACTGAATCAGAACATTTTTGTTTTATTCTCTTCTGTATCCCCAATTGGTACTATTCTCTTTATCTGCCTTTCTTCTTGATTCCAAAGATCTTCTTTTCCAAAGTGCACATTCTGAAACTTTGAACTACTTCTGAAACTCGCAAGTTCAAGTCACAGGTGAATTGTAAATCTCATTACTAAGCTAAAAATTGACCTGTCAAATCGGTGCCTAAGACTACTTAAAATTTCTGCTGAAGCTGAACATTTTTTATTTCCTAAGGCCTGCTGAATATCTTCAGAGGAAATTTGAAGCTCAACAATATAAGCTGAAAGTAGAAAAGCAATTGGTGAGTAAAATACCAAATATGAGAGACAATCAGGAATTTCCTAATAGTGCCTCTGTTCACAAATATTCATGGATCCTTAAGTCAAAGTTCATTCCACATAGAAGATTAAGACTACCCTCCACCTTCCCCAGTTTTTAGTAGCTTAAAGAAGAATAATGGGAATAGGCTTGAATCGGGGTCTGGGAAGCCTGGTTTCTTCCCTGGCTCTCCCACTTGCTGTATGACCTTACATAGGTCATGAAACCTCTCTAGCCTCAGTTTCCTTTCCTATAAATGATAGTTTTAGAGTAGATGAGCTGCAAGGTCCCCTTCAGTGCTGCAATCTTTGACTCTATTTTATCAGAATTCTACACATTTTTTAAAAAGTGATTATTATATTTTATTTGAAATGAAAATTAACCTTTTCTGTTAAGTATAGTGTTAAAATTTAGGAACCGAGGGAAGCTGGATATGCACCCTGTTTGTATTGTTCTTATTTTGAACTGCTAAAAGCCTTCAGTTCTATTCCCCTAACCTAATCTCATACTCTAGAGTTTGCTAAACTTTCATCGAATTTTAATTGAACTGTTATAATTTGCCAGTTCAGAAAATTAATCTAGATATCTCACATGGTAGCATAATATATTGATTGCTTTGGATAAATAACACAAATGATTTTATTAATTTTCTTGAATTTTTTAATGTTTCATACTTAAGAAAATTCTGCTCACTATAAAAAAAAAACTCCCAAATATGGAGTTTGATTGGCGATATAATTCTTGTTTAAAGAAGGTCATGGTCAAATCAGAATGTTTCCAACATGCAAGTATTGTTTTACAAATTATTGCATTCAAAAATAGGGTCTTCGTCCATCTTCTGCTGAGCCAAATCACAACAAGAGAGAAGAGCTAATAAGTAATGGAGGAGAGCCAAGACTCCAGGAGCTGCCGTTCAGGAGAAACAAAATGAAGGAACAGGTTAAAAACAGTCTGATTCCAGGCCACCCTGAACTCATATCATTGTCTTTTGTATTGTAATGAGGTATTACTTTTAGTGTCTACAGGAAGTGCCTGACAGAGCGTAGTACACAAATACTTGCTGGGCACGCTCGCGTGCAGTGCCATGCTGAGGGTTTTAGTGCTACAGAAATACATATCTCACCTTCTCTGAGAATGCAACATAGCTAAATTCATAAGACTTTTTACCTTGGATTGATAAAGTAACTGCCATCAGCAAAAGTTTTGAATTTCGTATTAGTTCCCTAGAGCTGCCTTACAGGATAACTGAGTAGTTTAAAACAACAGAAATTTATTGTCTCACAGTTCTGGAGGCTGAAAGTCCAAAATCAAGGTGTCAGAGCTGCGCTCGCTTGCAGACTTGTAGGGGAACCCTTCTTTGCATATCTTAACTTCTGGTGGTTGTCAGCAACCTGGCAATCCTTGGCTTACAGCTGCATATCTCTATGCTCTGCCATTGTCACATGGCATTCTTCCTGTGAGTCTGCCTTCACATGGCCATCTTCTTAAAAGGACACCAGTCATACTGGATCAGGGGCCCACTCTACTCCAGTGTGACCTCATCTTAGCTAATTACATTTGTAATGACGCTCTCCAAATAAGGTCACATTCGGAGGTACAGAGCATTAGGACTCCAACATATCTTTTCTGGGGGGCAAAGTTCTACCCATAATAGGATTATATGTAAAAGTGGAGTATAAAAAGTAACTGTATGTTATTACCACATTTGGGATTCTGTGTAAAACTGAGATCACCCCAAGTCACCTTATCACTCACAGTGAGTGAAGTACCACAACTGAAATGGAAGGCGGACTGTCATCTTTAGGAGCAGCGGGTTTTCTAATACTGATTATATATCAAACATTTCAAATTGTGGCTGTATAGAGGTTATTTTGTTGTTTGCAAACATTTAAAATTTTTGGATTGGGATTGCTTTCCAGGAATATTGGAAGCAGTTAGAGGAAATACGCCAACAGTACCACAACGATATGAAGGAAATGAGAAGGAAGATGGGGAGTGAACTGGAGGTAAATACATTCATTCTTCAAAAGAGAGTATTGTTCCATTGATTCAGAGCTAACAAAATTGAGCAGGTATTAAAAGTAATGATCTTGTAGAAAAGATAACTTTTTATCATGCAAACTCTTTAATGTGAATGCTGTCAGATCTGATTGAAGCTGTGCATGGTTGTGGTTTAGTTGGGACTACACAGATGATGAGGATATCTGAGATTCTCAGGAATGGCGATTATTAAAAATGCTTGTTGATTGTCCTCATGAATCAGTCAATAACTGTCAAGCGAGCAGCTATACTACACTATAACTGGATTAGATGCAATAAGTTCACACCCACAAGGTAGGAAGAAAGACCAACATTTACTGAATTCAACTATTGGCATAGTCTCATAGACAGGGGAAAGGTTCTAAAGTCCATATTTGAGTGCAGTTGAGATAAATCTTGAAAATTCTTTAAAGGTTTCACATTGGAAACTCATTCTTTCATCTCTCAGATCACTGCTTTTTCAGTAGAATTCCCAATGAAATAGCTGGCTTGGGTTTGGAGATTACCTTATAGAAAAAGACACAGATATTTAAACACTAGTAACGCCCGCAGCGCCCGGGAATTCCCCTCCTGTGAGAGGCCTGTGGGCACTGAGATGACGAGACACAGCTGGGCTCCCATCTCATCTGCACTTGAGCCCACACTCATTGAATAAACCATCCACACTGCTGAAATTGATCTTTCTGTCCCCATCTCCTTCACCCCTGAGTGCCTACAGATGAAATGCAGGTGAAATGAGCATATGGTACAGTTCAGTTGTATGTGCCAAGCTCTTAACTAGAGCTTTCACATGCTTTATCTCATTTACATCCCCCCTTACAGAGAAGTTAAGTAACTCATCCACACAGGGCAGGCCAAATAAATACCTGATTCCAAAACCTCTACTCTTTCTAGCATATGCTCTTCTTCTCATAAATAGTTGGAAAGATAAGACACACATGTATGAAGCAATTTTTGAGTAAGATTGCATATAGTTAAGCTCTGTAAGTGCTCAGGAACAGGTTTTACGGAAGAAGGAAGATGGCGTCTCGATGGGGTCTGAGAGGGAGGAGAGTTTAGAGAGGCAGAGCCAGGGCGGAGGGCATTCTGAAAGAGCCCTGCGAAGGCTCAGCGGGAGGACTGGATGTGCTGGGAGCGGGTGGGCTGGAGGGGGTTCTTTCCAGAGCAGCAGCTTGGCTAACAGTAGGGAGCCTCGTACTGTCATCAATTTTATCTGTAAAGTAGGTCCGTGATGGGAAACCTGAGTCCAGGGAAGATGGAGAGTGGACATTTCTTCAGAGACCAGGAAAGCAGCACTTGGGGAATTGGGGAATACCAAGGCAGCCGTAGGGAAAAGGAGCCATCAAGAGCTTCACCCAGCCACTGCCATTGGTTGTCCCTCGACCGGCAGGTGGAGAGCATTTCCTCACTAGATCCCATTCACACCTGGGCTGAGGGGCATCAGGCAGCCTTCAGAATGGATGCAGAGCCAATATTGTTGACTATGTATACTTTGTGTTCAAGGAGGACTCAAATACAAGGAATAAAACCTATCTGGTGAAGAAGAGTAACCTGCCCATCTCCCAAGAGGCACCTGAGGAAGAAGGACCTGGGCAGGTGATGGTTATCGTTAGATGTTTATGTGTATCCCAATGAGTTTTCCCTAGCCTGGTGATTCTTACCCCTCACAGCACAGTATAATTATGTGGGGGGAAATTTTAAAAACTCAAATGCCTAGATTTTGCCCCAGATGGTCTGCGGTGGGGCCCAGGCACCCTGTTTTCAGAAACTGGCTGGGCGATTTAGTGTGTGATCAAGTTTCAGAACTGCTCTCGTGACCATGTGAAAATTCTGCTTTCTGGATGGTGTTTGAATCAGAGTCTCAGACACATTGCTCAGAAAATCTGATGTTTAACTTCCCTTCTCTTTCAACCTTAAACATTTTTGGCCAGAGTGGAAAACTGGGCAGAGCTGAGTTATCAGTGGCTCTTGCGGGACATTTTTTTTTCCCTTCTGGGAGGCCTTTCATATTTATCTTCAAGGTGCTTCAAAGGCTTGAGTAAGGCAAGGGAGAGGAACCAGTACTGCATGAAGGCGGAAAGGCCTCCCTGAAAGATCCTGGGACCTTCACATTGATGCCAGAGAGATCTAAAGTGGACTGAGGTTGAATTTCCACCCAGTGGGGTGGATGGGGCTTTAGGAGTCTAAATAGTTGTATTTGAAGGAAAATAAAGCAGTGTGATATTTCTTGTACAATTGAGACAACCGATTATATAATCAAATCAGACAACCAACTTCACAAATATAATAAGATACATATGCCACAGTCCTGTTTCAGAGTTCATAATATTTCAAGGCAGAAAAGCACCTTTCTTGAGGTTGCAAGGCAAACAACTAATAATGATTCAAACTGACACATGCTCTATGTGAAGTATATACAAAGACAGTGGAAATACAGATGAGGCAGTAATTGATTCTAAGGAATGGATGATAGAGACGTAATGTTTAGTGGTGGAGGGAAGAGGGCATTAAACACACACACACACACACACACACACACACACGGGATAGTACCATTTCCTAATATGAGGCAGAGTGGAGAGTGAACCTGTGGTGGGGGACAATGAAGAGTTCCATTTCGGACATGTTGGTCAGAGAAGATCTGAGATTGGGAACCTGCTGCAGAGCCTCTGCCCTGCTGCTCCCTCTGATGGAACATGCTTTCCCCAGACCTTCATATGCCAAGGTCCAGCATCATTCCAGGGCTTAAAGCAAGTGCCAAATAGGCTTTTCCTGCATTGCTCTCACCCCCTACTCTATGCTGTTACCCTATTTTATTTTTATAGCACTTAACACTTTCCGAAATTACATTGTTACTTTGTTAATTCATTTATTACCTATCTTAGTCCAATAAAATGTTAAGTTCCATGTCAGCAGAGACCTTGCAGCCACAGTCATTGCACTAGCCCATTGGACATTGTCTGGCCATAGCGGGTGCTCAATATGGATTTTTGGAATGGCTGTTAAAGTGAAAATGATGCCAAGCAGGCCGTGGAATATGCAAACTTGAAGCTCAGAGGGGAGGAAAGATCAAACCCGAAGATACATGTTTAAGAGTCATTGCATAAAGATGGCTTTTAAACCCATAGGACTTACTGAGACCCCCTTGTATTGAGGAAGAAAGGGGCAGATAGCTCAGGCCTGAACCCTGAGAAAGCTCAGCATTTGAACTTCACCTCTCAACTGTTTTTTGAAATTCTTGTCATCTATTTTTGCAATCTCCTTTTGTTCCTTTTTGAAATTGCCTATCGAGTTTTAGAGCCCTCTTCTTTATGCTGTCAAGAGCTGTGTACTTTTCTTGTTTTCCTGGTTAAGATAATAAACCTCTTAAAAAAAGGATCCTGTAGTTAAAATTACGTTCTTGAATTAAATTAGGTTATATTGGACTAGACTGGGGTGATAAGCGTTGTCTGTCACATTATAGAATTGTACCTATTGCAATGCTAATGTTAACTATATTGATGTTTTGAGTTAATGGACACTGTCCCCAAGTTTTAGTGAATCATTATTAAAGCCATGTTTTTATTCTCAAATCAATTATCAGATTCAATCCAGAAATCAAATGATGTAAACATACCATACTGTGAAATCAGGGGTTCTAAAAATATAATTGTTTGATCAATATTAAATGCTGTGTTTTAATTTTTTTCTAAACTTTCAGGATATTGAAAGAGACTTGAAACAAATTAGACTTCAGAACATAAAGGAAAGTAAAATTTCAAAGCAAAAATATAAGGTAATAAACATTTGTCTTTCAGTTTCATATTAAAAAGCTGGCTAGGGGTTCATACCTTGCAATCTGGGTTGACTACAAGATTCCCCCCGCTACTATTTTATGGAATTGCTTTATTTTATGATGTTAGACTAGTGGTTTTATGTGTCTATAATGTCAAATAGGAAGTTATAATTTTAAGATTTTTATTGCATTGCTAAACTAAGATTGTTTTCTTGCTTTTTTTCTAGAGAGGGGTAAAGTTTGAAATTAATTTAGATAAATGTATTTCTGATGAAAATACCCTCAAAGAGGAAGAGGTATGTCATTAAGTATATATTTTCATTAGTAGGCATGAGAAAATGAGTGTCTTAGAAGCATGTTTCATGAAGTTTTTCCGTAGGGACTAGGGATAATTTTTTTCCTCCCATTCTTTTTAAATTGAGATTATTCTCTTAAATGGATTATTCCAATTTAATTCATTTTTCTTTTATAAAGAATCTATTTCCTCACAATATTAACTTTTAATCATAGCAAAATTAAAATAGAAGACATAATACATATTCGACAAGTACTGTCATTACCTAAAAAATCGAGCAGGTACCCTGAAACCATGCTCATTTATTTTAGGTCTTAGTTATTAATAACTTTGTACAGGTCATTGGGTGAATCTCAGTTATGCCTTTGGGCTGTCATTGATACAGCAATAAATGCAAGATCACAGTAAACTCAAACCTTGTTTTATTACTTGAGTTCAACATCTTTTTTAATCCCACTTTTTATCAGACCTACTAACAAATATCAAAATTAACTGATTTGTGTTTCCATTTAACCCTCTATAAACTTGCCTTTTAAATTACCAAAAGTATGTGTATTTACATGTTCTATATCACATCTGATACTCAATTTCTTTCTTTCATATTCTTCATTAGCTTAAAACTTTTTAACGTTATCATTTCTTTCAGGTGTGTGTGTGCTTGTGTGTGTGTGCGTGTGTGTGTGTGTAGTGAAGGACCAGTTCTTTTTTTAAAAAAAAAAAAGACTTCATGTTTTGTAGCAGTCACGGCAAAATTGAGCAGAAGTTGCAGATTTCCCATGTTCTCCTGCCCCCCTCATGTACACAGCCTTCCCCACCGTCACCACCCTCCACCAGATTGGAACATTTGTTACAACTGATGATCCTACACTGACACATTGTTATCACCCAAAGTCCACAGCTTACATCAGGGTTCACTCTTGGTGATGTACATTCTGTGGGTTTTGACAAATGTATAGTGACACGCATCCACCATTACAGTATCATGCCGAGCACTTTCACTGCTGCAAAAATCCTCTGTGCTCCACCTGTCTTTCAGATTTTCACTAGCATTTTGCTACGTTAGACTTTAATAGAGTGGTGATAGTTAGCGCTCACCTCTACTTAACCGTTAGTCTCGAAGTGTCTCAGAGATATGAATATCAGAGAGGAGCAGTTATGGGACCATTTCTGGGTTGGAATCTGAGGAGTGCTACATCCATAGTGCTTCTGTGAAGAGAGGCTCTAAAGTTGGCCTGCTAGAATAAAAGAATACAGTCGAGAAAGTTTTATCTCCCAGAGTGTTCATCTTTTATTATTCTATGCTTCAGTGTGCTTGAGACAGAGTGATCATTTTTGTGTTGATTGTAGAGTATTAGGAGCGGTTTTAGGGACCCATCTGATTAGGAATGTCGTATACTAACAACAGTGTGTGGAGGAAATAACCTTGGGAATTCTGTAGAATGAACCATAGTAGAACGATATTAAAGACAGGAAGTCTGGATAAAATTAAGTTGCCATATATCAGTACTGACAAGGAAAATAAATGAAAACATTTTTGTTTCTATCTTGTTCCAACATAGTTCCACCTTTAAAATTCCACTGATTTATTTGTTTAATATACATACTTTGAATACTTGCCATATATTTTGGTAAATGTTATTACTGGGAAAAGAAATTTTTAAAATTCCTTCACCCCCGTCCCCCCAACCACAATATAGCTTACTTCTCATGAAACACCTGGAATTGCTTTACGCCAGGAAACTTTGACCTTTGAGGACAGCCTGAAGCTTAAGGAAAATAAATGTATAAAGGAGTATGAGGATTATACAGACGAAGCATTTGAAAAACTCTGTGGCTCAGAAGCAGGTACGTATATCTTGAAGGTTGTACATGAGAAGGAACTGTTTTATCGGCAATCCATCTTAAACTATCTCCCACAACTCCACTGTCACCTGTCCCCGTTGCTCTCCCTGAGCTGGGCAGAGACCTGGCTCCTCTGCTTCTGCCCACCCCCATGGGGTTCGTGCTCCCTGACACTCAGCCCTCCTCTCTTGCTCCATTCACAGTCTCCTTGGGCAGTTTCACCTGCTCCCTCAACTTCAGTTTCTCCCAGCTGGGAGCTCCACATCTATCTGCTGGAAAGCTCCCTGGACAAGTCCCACTAGCATGTCAGACTCAACACGTGTGCAGTCAAGCTTCTGATCTCTTCCTCCCCAGTGACCCTTTGCTTCGGGTAACACCTTGCCCAGGCTGACAGTTACTGCTGCTCAGGGTGGTTTCCGTTCCGAAGTGTCTCTTGAGTCTCCCTCCTCCTCCTTCATTCTCTCTGCCACTAGTTTAGGGCCCTGTTGTCCCTCAGCATCCGTTTCCTCTTAGGATCAGGGGATGATAGCACCTACTACACAGGCTTACTGTGAGGACTAAAGTGAAATTTGGTGTATAAAGTACCTGAGACATGCTAGGTGATTAACACATGCTATTCCTGTATTTTCCTTTTCCCTCACTGAATTGCCTACATGTCCTCCTTTTTGCTAGCATTTCCCTTTCATTCCCTAAATGATTGTTAGAGTTAGCTTATATTATTACCCTGCTCAAACTTTTTTTTTTTGATAATGCCTGCAGGATACAGTCCATTCCACACAATATCACATTTGACACTGAGTGGCCTGACCCTGTGGTGATCTTCCTTTATTACCCTAGAACCCCTTCTTTCCTTCCACAGTGATGGGAGCCGCACGTAGCTAGGTGAGCATTTACATACCCTGGCTTGGCTCAGCTTTCGCTTCCTGTAATAATACACTTTGCCTCATTTACATCTAGAAGAATCTTTATTCAATTCAGCAGGCATTTTATTGATAATCTCCCCGGTGCCACATATTGTGCTAGGTGGTAGGAAATCTCAAAGATGAACAAAACCTCAAAATCACAGAAGTGTAATCCAAAGAAAGGCACAAAACGTGTGTTCTGAGCCCCAAATGCTGATCATTGTTGGAGTGTGAGCTGGCTAGAGACTCAGAGAGGTAGCTACTCCAGTACAGCTTGACATGCCAAGGAGCTTGGCCTTATCCTTTGTGGTGACTTTCAGTAAAGGGAGTTAAATATTATTTGTGATGGAGAAAAATCACACTGGCTGTATAGTTTGAAGGATGCTGTGGAGGAATGAGACTGAAGGCAGGTGAATAGTCTAGGTGGGAAATGACAGGTACACGAGCCAGAGCGATGCAGTGAGACTAGACACGGAGTATGAACCACTGAGTATGGGGCTTGAGGAAAGGAAGAGGGTCAAGGATCCTCCCAGTTTTCTAGTTCATCTGAATGAAGCTTTCACCAACCAAATAGGTATATACAGACATACCTCAGAGATATAGCGGGTTTGCTTCCACACCGCCACAGTAAAGCCAATATCACAATAAAGCAAGTCACAAGAATTTTTTGGTTTCCTAGTGCACATAAAAGTTATTCATTGAAAATACTTTATTGCTAAACAATGCTGACCGTCATCTGAGCATTCAGCGAGTCATAATCTTGTTGCTGGTGGAGGGCCTTGCTTCAGTATTGATGGCTGCTTACTGATCAAGGTGGTGGTTGCTGAAGGCTAGGGGAGCTGTGGTAATTTCTTAAAATAAGACAGCAATGAAATTTGCCACATCAATTGACTTTTCCTTTCACAAACAATTTCTCTGTAGCATGTGATGCTGTTTGATACTATTTTACCCACAGCAGAACTTCTTTCAAAATTGGAGTCAATCCTTTCAAACCCTGCCACTGTTTTGTCAGTTCAGGTTAGGAAATATCTTAGATCTTGTGTTGTCATTTCAACAATATTCACAGCATCTTCACTAGGAGTAGATTCCATCTCAAGAAACTACTTTCTTTGCTCATCCATAAGAAGCAGCTTCTCATCTGTTACAGTTTTATCACGAGATTTCAGCAATTTAGTCCGATCTTCAGGATCCACTTCTAATTCTCGTTCTTTGACTATTTCCACCATATCTGCAGGTACTTCCTCCACTGATGTCTTGAATCCCTCAAAGTCATTTACCTGAAACTAATATATTGTATACCAACTATACTTAAATTTTAAAATATCACTGATTACACATCACCATAACAAATAAAATAACAAGGAAAAAATTTGAGATATTGCATGAATTACGAAATATGACAGAGACATGAAGTGAGCAAATGCTGTTGGAAAAATGGCACTGATAGACTTGCTTGAACTAGGGTTGCCACAAACTTTCAGTTTATTAAAAAAATGCAGTATCTGCAAAGCACAATGAAGCAAAGTACAATAAAACTAGGTATGCCCGTGTATCATATAGAGCAAGACCAGTAGAGATAATGTAATGATGTAATTATGGAACATATTGAAGCTCAAGAGCATCAGCTGGAGACAGTTAGAAGACACAAGCTGTCTAAGGCGCAAGCCCCGAGGCAAATTGGGGCTTCTTTAGCATATACACAGTATGTCAACTTTGGTAATGGTTGGAAATACCTAAGCAGAGGGACTAGAGTGAGAAGAAAATGGAGCTTAGGACAGACCCTAGTTTAGACAAGTTTTGAGAGAATCAGGAGAGTGAAGACAAAGAAGGAGAGCAAGTTCTAGAAGGAGGTGCAGGGGTTGGCAGCATTAACTGGAAGAGAGAGGCTCAGTGAGGCAGGAGTGAGGCAGGCGTGGGGTGTGGCCATCTGGAACCCTCAGTGCCTCAGTGACAGCAGTTCAGTGAAAGGGTGTGTCCGAAAGTTACTCTTCACCTGGATTTGCTGGGAGGAGGGGAGACTAGGTCAAATGTCTCAAAAGGCATAGCTGCTTTTTTTTTTAGATTAAAAAAAATCTTTATTAGTCTAATAGTTTGATATGAACAATTTTCCTATATGTTTATTGACCATCTATATTTCTCTTGTAAATTATGTGCTCATATCTTGTATTTACTTTTCTACTGAAAATGGCATGTTTGTTTTTTCTTTATAAGACATTTAAATTAAACCTTTGCCTGTAATATGTATTGCAAGTATTTCTCCCAGTTGGTCTTTAGATTTCATTTACTGTTCCAATAGCAAATGAGTGCGTGTGTGCATGTGTGTGCATACATATAACTTAGGGAGAAATTTTACAAGAATTGTGCAGCATATATGAAGAAAGCTATAAAACAAAGGTCTTTAAAGACCATTTGAATAAATGGCGAGAAATAACGTTGTTATATATTGGAAGTAAAGTATTCTTTCCAAATATCTGGATTTTGGGGTATTTTCAGTCAAAAGCACCATAGGATTTTTTTCTGGTGTGAGGAGATCTTGGCAGATTGGAGAATCTTTGGAGATTCTTAACTAGCCAAAAAATTTAGAAAAGAAGAGCAGTGCAGGAACATTTACCCTTCTAAATGACAAAACATATAAATTATAGTCATTAAAACAATTTGATACTAGCACCAAAATAGATAACATAGTGGGGGAAAAAAGATAGATTAGGAACACACATTTTTTTGGACAGGAAAGAACTAGTTATTTGAAATATACAGAAAAAAACTCATAGAATAAATTAGTAATAGATTCAATTTTAACAGTGAAAAGCTTTGGTAAGGCAAATAATACTAGCTCCTAGAATTGTCACTTTCAATAGTAATAGGGTAAATAATCATAAATGTCCACAAAAATTTAACCACAAATAAGTATGTTATAATATTATTTATATTAAAGAAAAATCTCTAGCAACCTAAAAATCTAGCAAAAAGGAATTATTTAAATTATAATACATGAAACAGAATACTATGTTTAATTTAAAATGGTTATATGAAAGACTAACAATCTGGATGTAATATGTTGTTAGTCAAAAACAAGTTATGAAAGGGTGTGTAGTATGTGACTCATTTTTTGTTTCAAAACAAAGCAAGAACTATATGCAGGGGAAATTTTTTGAAATTTTAGTAGTCTCTGGACAGTGGGTTTATGGGTGATTTTTACTTTCTTTGTTTCTGATTTTTAAATTTCCTATAATGAAATATGGAGAAGGATAACACAAATTATTTTAAAAATTGAGATAATGGAATAGAATGAATTTCTGTGGGAACTGACTAAAGTAAAAATTCTCATAAAATGCCTCAAGGATTTGTCCATTTGTGTTCCTAATATTTCTTTAGCATTTAAATATTTTGGCTAGTCAATCAAATGTTATTAATAAAAGTGAAACCATTTTAAACCTGTTTATAATATCAGTCTTATAAATATGACCTATGCTTTAGTCCATCCAGGCTGCTGCAGCAAAATATCATTAACTGGGTGATTTATAAACAACAAACATTTATTTCTCACAGTTCTGTAAGGCTAGAAAGTCTAAGATCATGGTGCTGGTAGGTTTGGTGTCTAGCGAGGGCCCGATTCCACCTTTTGGCTGTGTCTTCACACAGCAGAAAGGATGAGGGAGCTCTCCATGGCTCTTTTTTTAAAAATTTTTTTATGCCTACTACCTGGTCTTCCTAGGGGGTCTCCCATCCAAGTACTAACCAGGCCCCACCCTGCTTAGCTTCCGAAGTCAGACATTGGGCTTGTTTAGGGTGGCATGGCCGTAGACCATGGACTGTGGCTCCACTGGAGTGTGAACCCAGAACCTTCCTGTGTGTAAAGCAGACATGCTAACTGCTACACTATGGAAAGACGTCCTCTGTGGCTTCTTTAAGGGCACTAATCCCATTCATGAGGGCTCTATTCTCGGGATCTAATCACCTTCCAAAGGCCCCACCTCCTAACATTAGATTTCAACATATAATATTCTGGGGAAACACAAAGGGTCCACAGCAGTCTATATTAGAATGACGGTGGTGATTTCTCTTTTTTGAATATACCAGCTGATGGACTGTCTCCAGATTTCCTAAGAACTGTTTATTGCAATTAGTCATACTTTGGCTGCTTTTAAATTAATGAGTTATTTTGTTATACCCAGAGCTGTTCATTGAGGATGCTGCTGCAGAAAACAGGAGACAGTGGGACGCGGGAGCGCCTCAGACTCTGCTGCAGATGATGGCAGCGGCTGATGTCTCCTCCATCTGCTCCACCAGGCCTGAGGGTGAGTTTCCATCAGTGGGCATAAAACTCCAGCGAGAGGAGACCGAGGCCCCAAATGCAGCTCGTGCTTACCCTGACCTGATGGTTTTCACTTTTCAGTACAATCTCTATAGACTTGGTATCAAATATCTTCCAAAGATATCGTTTTGGTTCCTCCCCTACCTCCAGAGAATGCCTGCTAATGATCTTAGACAACTGAGAATGTAAAAGAGGAAAGATCTAGAATCCCTCCTTCCTCACAGTGAGAAAATGTACAGGGAAGGGTAGTCGACTTAATTTGCCTTCAAATGCTAGTTCAGTAACTTCCTTGCAATTTCTTGGAGAGTTGGTTTTTTTAAATCACTAAAATTGGAATTAACACAATAGCTATCCCACAAGATGTAGGGAGGTAACAGTGCAAAGATACATATAAAATGGCTTGTAAACCAATGTGTAAATGTAAGGAATATTTAGTATGTGATGAAATTTTCAGTCTAAATTCTTTTATTTACTTTTGAGCTTCTGGCACAGCCTTTCCTGAGGAGTGGTTTACGACATCCAATTGTCACCTTTATAGGGAGTGAAGATTTTTATTACTTATTTCCTATGTTTCTCCTGTTAACATGGGATGGGGGAGAGCTAAAATTTATACCCATGTAATAAGTCGAAATATGTAAGTATATCACTGAAATTAGTAATTATAAGTGCGTAAATTGATTTATATTTATACTATTACAAAACACCAACAGCATCAAACTTGTGAGAAAGGGCTTGCAAATGTAGTACAATTTAATCCAATGAATCAATAAAAGGGGAAAGCTAATTTTAAAAGAAGCAAATAGAATACAAATTTTAACACATCAAAATCGCCAGCTTACAGATCGAAAAGTGACTCTCTCACCTATCAGCTACATGACAGTAAGGCACTAAACTTTTCTATAAGTTTTCTTACTAATAAAATGAGTGGTGGAATGAGGTTCCCTCCAAGGTTCTAACATTCTGTGATTTTATAAAAACTTGAACAAAGAAGCATTTTTATTTTCAATAACACACTCTCCTCTTCAGATGGCCAAGTGAAGGTGATCAAAAGTGTTCCGGAAAATAGGAAACAGTGGCGGCACGAAGCTCCAGGAACTTTAATGAGTGTTTTGGCGGCAGCACATCTCACAAGTAGCTCATTTTCTGCCAGAGAGGAAGAATTTGGTATGTAGTTTATTTTTAAGAACATAACCAATCCCCTGAGGAATTTTGTCAAACACTTGTAAATGCTAAAAGGGGATAAAAATACCTTCAGCCTGAAGAAAAAATCGGGAAGATGCCTAAGCCTTTGCAGAAGCTGATTTGCTTTGTCCAAGCCCGTTCCAAATGGCATTAATGAAAGACTTGAACTTCTGAGACGAGTGGGGTAATTTTGTTCGATGTGATCAGCTGACAGCTGATGACAAGTGAAGTAAGTAGGAGTGGTGGGTTTGTAGATGATGAGCTAGTATTGCTTAGCTCTACCTGACAGAGTGGTTTTTTTCTGACATTATTCAGTGGACTCAAATTAAGACCCTATGGGTGATAAAAACACATCTCAACGTAGTGTTTTGGCTTTTGGGTTGTTTTTTTTTTTTTTGCCTCCATTTTTTAGCAAGATTATTTTTATGTTTACTTCAGGGAAATCAATTGATTTTCTAAAGTTAGAGGGAATTCATACCACAGTGGGGATTTGTCCTCTATCAGGTTTGCAAGTGTGAACTGCTACAAGAAAAGTTATTGTGACTGGCAGGTGTCAAACGGAGAGCATCTGCACAGGTGGGAGGTCTGGGACCTGGTGTTGCTGAGATGCAAGGCTGAGGCAGCAGGGAGGCATAGAGACAAACTAGATAGTAACAGAGGCTGATAAACATAAAGTTAAAGAACAGTACAAAAATATATACAACGCTAAGCATAATGCAAGAGAGTTACCTGATTATTCTGCCAGCTTGTGAAGTCCAAATTTCACAGTCTTTGGGAAAACTGTGTGAAAAGTTGAATCTTAAACAATGTACAGGATTTGACTGAGACAAGAAGAAAGGACATTTCAGGTGGGGAGGACTTGTGGATACACAGGCCTGTGTTGGTGACTGCAAAAACCAGTTTGACTAAAATCTAGGAGTAGTAGATGGGGCCAGAGTCCCCAAGTATGTGAAGTCCTTCAGTATTATGGCTTATCTCAGTTGACATAACTGCTGTTTAAAACTTAAGAGAAAGAAAGAGAGAGACAGAGAGAGAGAGAGAGCGCGAGCGAGCGAGAGAAAACATACTGCCTTTGAAGATCTCTTTCCAGGACCTTCAAACCACAAACTGCAGTTTAATTGTCTGCTTGTCTGCTCCCTTCCCTTCTGTCCTGGGTAAAAGTACTGTCTCTGAGTGAGGCTTGAGGTGGCCAGAGGAATCTTTAGGCAGGTCTGGCTTGGCCTGGAAACCAAGGATTGGGGCCCCAGGCCTGTAGGAGGGCTAGTTCCCATCTTTCATGACATTGGGATGGAGACATACTTAGTGGCTGTGATGTCTCTTTTTGTGTTTGGCCCTGTGATTCTTGGTGTCGACATAAGAAACGTCCAAACCTGTAGAGAATTTTTACGAGGTTATTTGAGTTAAGATGACCACAATTGCATGGAAACAAAATCTCAATGGATTGAGAAAATGCTCCGAAGAATGGCAGTTTTGCAGCTTATTTTACACGTGAGAATCAAAGGAGGAGATGTAAGGAAGGTTACATGAAATCATTGGTGGTAATTAAGTGGGCGGGATAGAGTAAAACAGAGAAATCTCTGGGATTGTATAAAAAGTAAGAGAGAGAGACCCATACTTCTTTTCATTGGTGGGTACAGGACAGTTAATAATTAACATTTGCAGCACATAGAGATGGTATTTGGGGAGCAAGATAACAATGAGGGGTTCTATGGGCTAATGCTCTGGTGGTAGGTGTGCCCTGAGGTGCCTGAAAAAGGAAATTACTCTGACACTTCAAAGGTATGCTACCTTAGATGCAAAAAGATAATAGGTAGCTCACTTAAAGTAAAGATTGACCTTTGTCAAGGAAGCTACAGTTCTAGGACTTGACTACCCACCATGACTCACTTTTAGTTAGGAATTTTTATGTTCAACCCTATATGACTACTTTCAGTCTCTGAGTTGATAAGGCCCACCGTCCAGGCCTTCCCTGAGCTTTTCCGGTTTAGTATGTGTCAACTTTTTCTGTCCACATTGGAGAGAGTCATAGAAAACTCTTATTTTGATCTGTCCTGCTAAATTGATTAATTCATTAACTTATTGTATTTTCACATGGATAGTTTTACATTAGGCATATACGAGCAATTTATCTAACAGGTGGGATTAGAAATAGGAACTTGCCTCGAAAGGTGGCATTAAAGCAAAGCGCAGGTATCTTCTGTTGTAACCTACTGACATCCTCTCCCATTCCAGCTCAGCTTTGATTTTCCAGCCTCTAATTCTTTTGTTGGCCTCATCTTTCCTATCTGTGCAGCAATCTTGACTTCCTGTCCCTCATCATCTTTTCTTCCTTCAGCTCAGATAATCGTCCTAAAATAGACCAAGTCTTTTCTTGACTTAAAATCTTGCAGAAGATCCCCGCTAACCCTCAGGATAAAGTACAGACTCTTCAGACTCTGAGCACTTTGAAGATCAGATGGCCCCTCCCAGCCTGGCCTGTCCCAATGCCAAAGCTGCTAGCCCTTCTCCATTAGCAAGTATTCCTCCCTCAGTTCAGAATGAATGCCACCTCCCTCCCTTTGCCAAAATCCCTCCTGTAAGATTTCAGTCTAATACAAACACCCTCCATTTCTGTCATTGCTTTATTTTTTTTAATTAAATTTTTTTTCTTAATTTATGTGTCATTATGTTTTATTGGCAGTTACCCTTCTCTCCTTACTTTTCCCTTATTACCAAATAGGGCTTTGCAAAGGGGTCTGGAATATAGTAGATTTTTACTAAGTGTTTTTTGAATAAATGAGTGAAAGAGCTTGCAACTTGATTAATATGCTTCTCTTTAATCCAAAAAATTCTAATAAGTCTTTAAGTTTCTCTACTGTCTTTCCTCTTTTAGCTGCCTCTGACAATTACACATTTATTCAGTCTCACACTCAAATTCATTTACATTCAAATATTTGTTAAATGCATGAAATACCAACACTTTATTATTGTATTTATCATTTAAGTGCAGGTCATAAAAAGGTGCAGTAGTGATTTTATTGTGAACGTTTAGTGATTGCTATGAACTGGGTCTCACACCACTGCCTGTGTGCCATGGATAAGGAACCACTGTTTTAGGTGATTGGGAAAATATATGGACATGTTTCCCTTGTAATCCTCTAGGTTTGATATCCCACAAGACAATGATTCTCTGATCATAAAAAGAAAGGTCACTTTAATTTCTTGTTTAATATCTTTCTTCCTCACTCTAAGCTTATGAGAGCATTGTCTTGCTCACCACCCCACTTTGCCTTTCAGTGACTACTTGTTATAGTTGGAGTGATCTAAAATCTGTCGTTGCCCCTGTGGCACTGAGGGGTCCTTGGTTCTTTTCGCCAATGCAGTAAAAATTACAGATCAGTGAGATTTAGGAAAAGTAAGATATATTGAAAGTCCATTTCAAGAAAGAAACAGGTTATGCCAAAGAAGTCTGTAGCCTCAGGGAAGTGGGAAGGTCTGTATTATATAGTACGGTTGTGATGGGAGGTTACAAGGGTGGTGCTAGATGATTGGCATGTGAAGTCATTTTGATTGACATTAATTAACCTTTTGCCTACTGTGCATGTGGTTACCAGAATTTCAGGCTGTTGTAATTATATTCATGAACTTCTGGGCATATGCATGATATTATAATGATGGTAAAATGAGGCTAAGGCACTTGTGGTCAGACCAAACCAGGGGCTAATGGCTTTTCACTCTTTCGTGCCTCAGGATATAGGGATAATTTATAGCCATAAAATGGGTGTTTTAGAGAGGTTCTAAGGTAGGTCTTTGGGTGTGTCCTTTATTCCCCATTCACTCATATCTACCTAACTACCTGACTAATAGTCTGGTATAGTATCTAGAACTTAGTAGGTGGCCATAGTCTTGGTGAATGAACGTACAGCCATAGGACATTTTTACCATTACTTTTGCAAAGGCATATGCTTGCCAATATTTGTATTACTATCAAATTGGATAGAGAAATTACATTAAAAATAATTCTTACGGCTGTAAAGAGTCTATAAAATGACTTTATGCATGTGTAAATTTTAATAACTTTGCTTTTAAGAATAAGTGATTTGTCATACATTTAAGCATTATTCATATAGCCTTCATCACACAGTCTTTTTACGCCTACAGCACCTGGTCTTCCTAGGTGGTCTCCCATCCAAGGAAAGTACTAACCAGGCCCGACCCTGCTTAGCTTCCGAGATCAGATGGGATCAGGCTTGTTCAGGGTGGCCATAGACTAAACAGTCTTTTTAAAATGAGGTTTTCTCAAATGTTTAATTTGTCCTACTTTTAAAAGTTTAAAATAGCAAGACTTTCTAAAATCCTTTTGAATGAATCTTACTAGTAAAAGCTATACTACTTAAATAAACACAAGTTTTTTTTTTTTTTTTACATGTACATAATTAATTCAGGGCAGTAAGTTTGTTTATAGTTTAACCACTCCAAATGAATCTTTGGTGGGAAGGTAACCTCCATTTTTCTTGTATATAAGTTTTCAGACCACATAGTTGCCTTGGTAACAACAAAGTTGCATATCCTAATAACAGCTAATTTACATTTCTATAGTTAGCCATTCGTTCTTTCTTGTATCCTGTTAAACAAGAACAAGAACCTCCTAAAATTATCTTTCCAAAACAAGAAAACAAAAACTATCAGATTCCCACACCAAGTGGAATACTCAGGCTACTTCTAATTAGCCAGACTACCTCATCGAAGAGATATATCAGTCTACTTCATTAATTTTATGCACTTTAGGAAACAATATGGGCAATGGTTTTAAATGAAACTTATGTTGATTAAAAATAGGTACTAACATTTAATTACATTGTGGTGAAATTTCCACTTGCAGGTGTATACATAAATAGCCATGTAATAGTTTACAAAAAAAAAAAAAAAAAGCCACACTTTGCTTTTAATTCCACTTTTGGAGAAAAATTCCTATTTCAAATCCCAACGTCTTAAATAAATTT